CCTGCAGACGGGCTAACGTTAGCCTTGGTTCCTGCAGACGGGCTAACGTTAGCCTTGGTACCTGCAGACGGGCTAACGTTAGCCCTGGTTACTGCAGACAGGCTAACGTTAGCCTTGGTTACTGCAGACGGGCTAACGTTAGCCTCTCTTCCTGTTATTAATAGTCTCTAGATAATAAATTCTTTGGTACCATTTGCTGACAAATATAAGAGGGATTTCGATTGTCTTTTTTTATTTATTTACCGTCAATTTATTCGAGTGTTTTTTTTTACCCACAGACAATCGCTACGAGCCGGAAACACTTCAATCCCTGTAATTAGCTTCATTGAAGATATAGTGAATGATTTTTCAGATCAATTTAAAGAACATATCGATGCTCTCTTCTGGAAAAACTCGCCTATGTACACTGGAAAAAATCGAAATCTAGATAAGTCATTTTAAGTTATTCTACATAAGTGCAACTGTTCTTGGATTAAAGAGGCAAAAGAGACATTTTACCAATGGAGAATAAGACAATTTACACTTAAAATAAGAACATGCAATTGCATTGTCTTATTTCAAGTGCATGTTATCTAATTATCTTATTTTACGAATAAAATACTCATTCCATTGGCAAACTATCTCATTTACCAACTCAAAATAAGGGTAAATACACTTAATTTAAGGAATTTTTACTTATTTCTAAATCGTTTTTCCAGCGTAACTCAGACGGTCGGATCCGCCGCTCTCTGCATTTAAGCCTGTGGCCCCAAAAATAAAAAACAAACAGAAGAACAATCCCCTGAAATATATATGATTACACCATTTTATAGAAAGAAAAATGATCCTACAAAATAAAACAAAAGCTTCAATACCACAAAATATCCCATAAACATGAAAATGCAAACCAAATTGACAAACTAATTTAAAAAATGATTTAAAGAAAATCAAGTAAAAATGAATGAAGCCGATTGCTGCTGACTCACCGTTGACGGTTCTGATGTGTTCCTGGATCTCCCGCTGACTCAGGTATTCCTCGTACATGTCCTTATCCTCTGAGGCTCCGCGCTGACAAAAACAAAAACAAAGATCAGACAAAGGCAGCTGACTGGACGAAGGAGTCCGCCGCTGACCAATCAGAGCTAACCTTGCAGGCTGCTTGCTCAGCCTTCCTCATCTTGGCCTGCTTCAGCATCTCCTGATAGATGCTCATCAGCGCCTCCTGCAGGTCGGTGAGCAGAGCTGCAGGATTCCTCAGAGCTGCGGCCGTGACGCTCACGTCGCCTCTGTCCACCGCCTCGTTAATGGCCACTACAGCTGCATGCACTGATAATAATAAGAAAAAAACTTCATTAAGTGTTTCAAACAAAGTGCAGAACAGTAAAAGGTAAAAATTGTAAAACAAAAATTAAAAAACAATTTAAAAACTGATAAAAACAAAAGGAAACACCAATGTTAAAAAACAACAAGTTTAGGCTTCTTTAGTTTGGCTTTAAATCATCTGAGAACAATCTGCTGAATGTCTAGATGAGGGATCGGCAACCCGCGGCTCTTTAAAGCCGGGCATTAGGCTTGTCCCGATCCGATCCTCGTATCGGATCGGACGCCGATATTTGCAAAAAAATACGTATTGGCAAGGCATGGAAAAATGCCGATCCAGTTAAAAAAGAAAAAAATCAGCTCCGTATTTTCCAGTTAGGTCGATTGAAACGATCCATTCCACTATTTTGCGGAAGTGTTCCCTAAATCTGGTTCATATTTTCCAGCACGCCATCAACACACCCACAGGTCTGTGTACGTGTGTGTCCCAGCCTAACCATTAAAACGGCCAGGTGAATTCGAAGACAGCGGTAAAAATGTCAGCAGAGTGGGATTATTTTATCCTGCATGACGAAAAAGAAGATGAGGTGGAGTGCAAAACATGCCACATTAAAGTCAAGCGTGGTGGTAAGGCTGCGAGACATTTTAACACAACAAATCTGATCAAGCATCGAGCGAAATATCATCATGAAGAACATCAAGAGTTTCTAAAGAAAAAGAAAGGTCAGAAAGGTCCTACACAACTAACTCTAGCAGAAACATTTAGGAAGCGTGAAATGCTGCCACTTAATAGTGCTAAAGCCCAAAGGATAACAAGAGGACGAGCCATTATCTCTGGTCAGTAAAGTGGGCTTTATACGCACTATCCAACACCTGGAACCACGATACAACATGCCCAGCCGTCATTACGTCCTTTAGAAAACGATCCCCCAGATTCACAAAGATGTTCAAGGTTACATTGATCCATTACAGATCCATAGCTCCGCCTCCGGCCAGTCAAACTGCACCTACCTGCAGCCTCGTCCACAGAGAGCTCATTGGCCAGGATGCCTCCGATCTTGCAGAAAGCTGGCATCTGGATTCCGTACTTATCCAACTCCAGCTTCATGTTGTTAATCTCCTCCTCTGAGCACAGAGTCACACATTAGCAAACTCGCTCTCAGATTGGCCGAAATATCACAAGCCCGGGCTATGAACCAAAATGAAGAAACACACACTTACCTGTGAACTTTACCTTTCCATAGAGATCATGAATAGGCGGAGCCAAACCCAGTCTGTACAGGTAGAGACTGCAGAGACATGTGGGCGTCAGGCAGGCAAGCCGAGAGACAGATGACAGACGATAGACGGACGTACCTGAGAGCGTGGATGCAGTAAACGGCTCTCGGCATGTTCTTCTTGTCATAGACGTCTGTAGTTTCAGGATGGAAGATCTAGAAGCAACAGAATCATCCCTCGGTTTAATAGAACTGATCGGCTTTTCCATCGGAGATAAAATCTTTGAGTGCAGTCTGACCGCAGGCAGGCCCAGGGCTGTCATGGCGTTCCTCCAGTGGTTGATGTTGTCGGTGTGACGGAACTGTAGACCCGCCGCCTGAACAGATCAATATTGTTAGTTTTGATCTGCAGTAGATTTCCTGATGACAAAGCTGATCTGATCAGAGAGAAATCAGGTTCAGTAACAGATTTGGAACAAGATCTGATGATAGCAGAGAAGTTTAGTTTGAGGGTGAAGGAACAGCAGAGGGTAAAATCACAGAGTCAGGACAGAAAATAGCAGCAGTCAGAAGGAATCTAATGATTTTCTTTAGGGAGAAGAGAAGAGTGTGGAGTAAAAAATGTTGAGGTATGAGAGATAAGAATGAGTCACACAGCTTCCTTCAAGGCATGAAGGGGAGGA